TAGCCTGTTCCGAGCGTTTACATAGTGGAAGTAAATAGTAGTAAATCGTACGGGGCGAGCGCAAAAGGAAACACGAGGGGAAAAAAACAGGGGAAACGCCCTAATTTTCGCCCGCTCCCCACCATCTTAACGCCTGGAACATGCAGGCTAGCTCCAGGCACTGTATCTTAGTCCTTTCACACTTCAGTGGCTTTCAACTTTGAGTACGTTTTAGTGGAGTTTTTATCCAGAGATTTGTCTATAGGTGGTGGCTTGAGATGCTTTATCAGCCTTTCTTCCCAGATTTTCCTCTCGGCAAAGTCATTGTAGTCCAGGAAGGTTCTGTTACGAAGCGCTTTTGGAAGTTTACTGCGATCAACGCCATCAATCCTCTTCACGATCACAGACGAGTCACCCATCTCTGTACTTCGGTACAGTGCCATCTCCAATTCACCGCGGCCAAACGTGCTTGAAAGATAATTGTGTGACATAACAGCTAACACTTTCCGACTGGTGTACACGCTTTCCGCCATGTTGTCTACCAGAGGCATGCCAATCTCAAAGTCTCTGTGGTGTATGCAGTAGTTGAGTTTGGGTTTTTCCACCAGCGGAATCAACTCTTTCTTGACCCAGTTCAAGAGGGTCTCAATGGGGTGGTGGCTTTTACGGTCATCGGCTAGAATTTTGGCTCTTTTACGGCTATCGGTTAATTTTTTTCAGTTACGGTTAACAAGAAAGTTAAAAATTAACTTCTTTTGTTTCAAAAAGTTAAATATTAATTAACCTGTTTTTTTTTTTTGTATCTTTAAATCAAAATAAAGGTCTTCGGATCATCTCGGGATGAAATAAGCTATTCTTTTGAAAAATTTTAACATTTGATAGATCATACTTTTTATAAAGGATTCCACTTCTAATATAATTTTACAAATAGAAATGTAAATAGTCAATTTAAAAATAATCTTCAAAAGCAGACATGTGAACGCCCAACTCAAGGCCGGGGTGCGACATTCATTATAACAGAAATGGCCTTTTTCACCCTAGAGACAGATTATTCGTGTGAGACGGGTTATCCGTTTGATGGTTCGCGTCAGATAGGTAATGCGTCTTAATTTGAAAATGGAATAGTTTTAATTTTGAATGAACAATCCGGCCTGACTTTATCCGTCAATTTCGACGGTCAGTTTGAAGACGGGATTACCCGTTCCAGAAACCCTGTGTACAGCCGCCCCCTCCCCTCAGAAAAAATCGGACGAGGGGCCCGATCTGTGGGGAGAGCCCGACTGTACACAGGCTAGACTCCGACGGATAATCCATTTCTAGCTCTAGTATGAAAACGGCCAATAACAAAATTCCCGTGTCCAGTGTTTTTAATGAAAGCATAGGATTGTACGGAACGACTGTCTGCCGTTACCTTGTCCGTAGGCCTCATTATTCCGCGCGGCTAAATTGTTTCGGGTCACGTGGTCCGAGCGAGTTCGCCACCGAAATGCCTTGACCGATATTTCGTGGGAAGACGCCGTACAGGGCTAGTCATGGCAATGTCTATCGTGGCGTCAGAGAAAAAATGTTGTTTATTGGCAACGTGTTTTACAAACAGTGACATCTGTGCGTGTTGTTTCACTAGTGTTCCGAGGGCACGACCTCCTGAAAATCAATATAATTTGCGGCAAATTTTAATCCCCAGCGAGAAGCCACACTTTCGCTATGGAAAAAAAATTAGTTCCCCGACTGCGGCGAAAATGGAGCCTAGATCTTGGTCAACACCTGACAGGCGCTTTGCCTAATGTGCTTACGGTGTCGTACTAGCCGAGAAGTAAAAAACGCAACCATAAGTCAGTTTAGCACCTTCCTTAAAGTAACAAATCTAGGGAAAAATTTCTTTTAAGGTTAACTCTTTTTTACCCTATTTTCCGTTAACGGTTAAATTTTTTCAAATTTTACGGCTATCGAGTAAATTTTTGGCCGTTTTAGGCTTATCGGTTAACCCCATTGAGACTCTCGTTCAAGTTGTGGCTGCTGAAAGTCACCAACTCGTCATATCGAAACTTGCGACTGTTGTCTTTATTTTCTGTTAAAAGGCAAATTAATGAAGGTCATATTAGTGAAAATGGGCAATAAGTTAAAGGGCGCAATTGCAAAAAAGTTTACAATTCTTTTAATTCAACCAAATACATAAAAGCTACATGCTTAGTTTTAGGAACCGGAACCGCTACCGCTAACTAATATATTTAACCCTCGGACGTACACGCAAATTCATACCCCCACTGTGGTACAAGGTGGGGGAGAGGGGGGTTAATCGAACCCCTCCCAGGAGATTTTGATAAGTTGTAGTATTTTGAAGCGATTTTACCTTTAGTGGAAGCATTTAGCCACCCCATAAGGTTTTTCTGAGTTTTTTCTTAGGTGATAAAACATCAGTACCTGACGTTTTCAGTAGCTGTTCATTCATCCCTCGCACACATTTTGAGACAAGTTTAGTGATGGTCAGTTGCTATGGTTACGAGGTATGATGTCATAAGTAGCAGGTGGTCAAGCCAATTTTGGGTGAACATACATGTTTTTCAACTTCTTTCAACAATAATAGTAAATCTTGTGGTTAAAATCATGCAAAGGGCTTATTTATGAGTTATTTTTCATGTAAAGCACAAAAAAATAACATTTCTGGCGGCTTTAACCTGATTTCTAATTCTTGGTAAAATCCAAGATGGCGGCGAAGATGGCGATCATTGTTGGTACCGTGACAGGCCTCCAGCAGCGCCACCAACCCTAAACTATACCTCATCTTGTTAAGAAGATCAAAGGCTTTCCACTAAAGGTAAAATGGGTTTAAAATACTGCAACATATCAAAGACTCCGGTTAGGGGTTCCATCCAATCTCCCCCCCCCCCCCCCTTACCCCCCGAGGGGGTTCAAATGTGGGGAAGGCGCGGGGGGATTCCTTGAAAAATATCCCCCCCCCTTGAACCCAGACCGGCGCTTTTTGAAGAAACTGGGAAAAATGGATGTACAAAGAAAATATATAT